AAATAAATAAATGTAGTCTCAAATTTTAATTGTCTGCAAAATTCTTTTATCTCTTTAGAAGGGAACACCCGGTATAATGTCGTGTTTTCGTTGTAACTAGTTTCTGCGTCGTCGAATCAATCTTGCCAAGGGTGCGTAGCTTCTCTATACTGCTCCCTCTGGTACGCCCCACCCTCCCGTTGGCCCCCGAGGGGATCGAAATTAAAATGACAATGAGGGCAGATCCGAAGGGTGGCTAAAAATGCGTACCCTTGCCATCGTCCAATCAGCAACGGATCCGACGACGCCATCGCGAACCTTCCCCCTTCTGTCGTTTTCTTTTTTTCCTTCCTGCGGCCTTTCGCATCCGGAGAAACGCCACGAAATGAAAGCGCTTAAAGCGCGATGATTCTTCAGCGAAATCTCCAACCCCTTCCGTCCCCTTCTCTCTTATTCGCAGTTACTGGCGGAAGTTTTCGAGCAATTAATCGAAATCGAAATCGGCACGATTTGTGTCAGTTTATGTGATGGTTCTTATCGTCGATAATGATAGAGATGATATTTGTGCGCGAAACGAACGTTTTAATAAAATCGATTAATATTTAAATTTTACATGGCTTATATATCACGTGAAATGAATTTAAATGGAAACTCACATTATTTATTCTTGTAATATGCTAAATTAAACTTATTGGTCGTTTAAGGAACATATTTCTAGTGAATATATTTCCATGGTTGATATAGATTTAAGGAAATGATATAGATTAAAGGAAATGATTTGTGATTCTAATATTCTTTTAATTACTTTATAGAACTTAAATGATCCGAATTTTACAGAGCTTAAATAATACGTTGTAAATAATACGAAATATATGTAAAATTTTAAAATATATGTAAAATTGCAAAAAATTCGAAAGATACATTGAAAAATGTATAAATCATACTCGGAAATGTACACAAATATTTTTCAATCGTGTAATGAAAATACAACGACGGCGTGACGATCATACCTGTAACTATTGGCTTCTCACCTGGCGTGTTATTTCTATGAATATAAAAATGTGATTCGTATTTGCATGAAATGCTAATTTCGAAACTGTGATTTTTCGTGATTTTCTACAAATATTTCGATAAAAAATGACATTCCGCGTCTGTAAAATTTTTTGATGACACATTTCTCAGTCATTATTCCATTTTTAGACTTATTTAAAAATGTCATTTTGAAATTATATTTTACCACACACATTTTTTAATTTAATTTTAATATTTTAATTTTAATATTTTTAGCTTGTTAGGTATTAGTCAAATTGTTGTTAATCAAAAGAGAACTTTAGATTTTTAGTAATTAAATTGACAATTAATCTATTAAAAATTTATTTTAAAATACATATATATATATATATATATATATATATATATATATATTTCTCTTAGAATCTTATTGTCTTTCTCTCTTCATCGCACCGACACGATGAAAGATACAGGCGTAAGAAAAAAAAGCGTCCGCAAGTGACGGAAGGAAGAGGGTGGAAAGTTCTGATACAGAACTAAGAACGAAAACGATATCTCGTCGGCACGTGCACGCGGTTAAAAAGGTTCACGAGATTTTGCCGCGCGTTTCGTCGGCCGCGGCCTGGTAAAAGCGGAACCGGCTGTCACGATACGGATCTGACCAATCATAAAGGCCGCACATACACATATAACAGCCACTTTATTCATCCATCCAGGCCTGCCTAACGGACAAAGGCGGAAATTAGTCAGGTTCGTTATGCTTATTAATTGACTGACATTTCCGTCATATTATTGTACGATGAATCGAGAGCTACTCTCTCGCAAGGCCCTCGAAAAACAGGCTGCCCTCCTTTACGCACACGATTATTGCTACAGGACGTTTCATTGATAGCAAAAGTCAACAATGTGAAAAAAAGACGTGTCATGCTTCCATAGATAAATTTAGAATTAAAATTTAAAATCATATGATAAGAACCAATGTATAATATTTTTGAGATTTAATGGATAACTAAATGTGTTTAATATTATTTCTAATTTTCTCTGTGAAAATAACTATTACTATTCGTTATATTTTGCTTTAAAAATAATTCGAATTTATATATAACGTAAAAATAATGGAAATAAAAAGGAATGACCAAAGTTTAGGGCATAGTTAGCCGTCTTTGCACAAAATGAATCTCAAAGAAAAAATCGTACATTTGAATTGATTAATTATAATATTTCCGTAAATAATGATATTCCGTAATTATAATATTTCCATGATGATTCTGTGATATTTCTGGAAATTTATTAAAAAAGAAATGATATTTAGAATATTGTAAAGAACATGTAAGCATTCAAAACATTCAAAAGCTTTAATTTTAAAGAAATCTGGGAAATAAGTTTATCAATCAAAGCCTCGAATATGAGATGATGCGATCAGGCGATGTTCCGCGATAATTATATATATAGATATTAATTACTAGTTAGCGTAGTGTTTTTATTAACGGCAGTGCGGTTGAAGAAAGAAATGAGAATACAAAGTGACGGAAAAACGACGGAAAGGTACGAGCAGGATGAATAAGAGAAAATGAAGCGCAGACGAAACGCAAGATGCGACTCGAGTGAATCGTAGAAAAATTGCACGCAAATGAGAAGTTTTTCATATAACGTATGTTAACGTATAAAAGACTCAAAAAGATATGACGTTACATACGGTATCTATTTTCTTGCATGCTCAAAGAGAAAGCATTCACGTACGAAAATCTCTTTTTCATATGCGTGGCAAACTGTTATTACGTCTAAATATTCTTTATTTATATCGTTAACTTGCAACAAATATTTAAAATGTATCTCAAATTTCATTGTTATTATTTTTAATTAATGGAGAATTATTTACGATGTAGGAAGGCTAACTGAGAGAGAGAGAGAGAGATAGAGATAGAGAAAGAAAGAAAGAGAGAGAAAGAGAAAGAGAAAGAGATATATTATGAATTATTGTTTTTCGTTATTGCATGTACAAAATATATTTCCATAACTTTCATATATAACGTATAATACATATCGTTATTTTTAAAAGTATCGTCCCTTTTGACACACGATATCTCGTTATCTTGTCCCTGCGAATATGAGGAGTAATCGAAACACGTTGGTACAATATATAAAGGATTAAAGCAATTATGAGTTCGTTCTAATAACGATGTTCACTGTGCGCTATTCTCTCTAAATCTGTTTTCATTAAAACGTTAAACGATCGATCTTCAACTGTACATCCTAACAAATATGAAATTACATTTTGCATATGTTATAAATATATAGATATATATTTTTTTATCTTTTTCACATATATTTTTTATGTACATTTTCTCTCTTACTAAATGATAAAGCATATACAATTGCTTTATCTCAAATTTTGTTTCTATATATACGATAATTTGCGTGTTTTGAGTATCGAAAACTGGGATTCTACGCGCGATGTTGGTTCGCGCGTATTCATTTTATGCACCCTTCGCGAGAAATCGGTTGAAAATGGCGAGACCGGTCGATCCTGAAAAGGGTGAAGGGCGCACGTGGTGGGGCTCGGGGATTTCTTAATGATGCTGTCTCGTTGCTGAGTCGGCTCACTCTTATATTTATCCTCCGCTAAGGGATGACACACATGAAAGAGGAGGGGGCGTATCGGTGTCGACGTGCAGCTGCGCCTTGTATCATACACCTATATTCTTACGCAGGGTGGTAAGTTATATCGGCGAGGGAATAATGCCACGGGGGTGCCGGAACGGTTTCATTACACGGCTTCCCGAGGGATAATATCCTGGGATATCTCTCCGCGGTCGACCCCAACGGGGGTGAAATTCCGTGCCACCGGCCCACCTCGTATGAAAGATGAACCCTCCGTGTGGCGGCCCCATACTGGAGGAGCATCACCCTGAGCAACCCCTTTGGAGGGAGAACGCGTTTGGGGCGAGCAAGGGAGGAAATTGCAGCAACCGACCACACTGGGGCAAGGGATCGCCATGCGGCGACGGAAAATGGCCGATGGCCTCGTGGCGATCGCAAATACGAAGGCGCTGTTTTAATAACGCTACGGTAACGGTAACAACGGATTACGTCGTTTCTGACTCTTGCCTATTCTCTCTCGAAACTATAGAAAGAGCGATGCGTGGCGAACTTAACAATACGCAACGGACGTTGTATATTTCCAGCTCTTTTGTTCCTAGATATGAGATTTTTAAAGGTAAAACATGAGAAATTTGCTGGAAATTCGGTAACAATATGATTCGTCCAAAAACAGCTTTATTTTTACACGAGTCATATTATTTGTTCTTTATCGAAGAAATGTTGAAAACAGTTTCACCGAGAGAGAGATGATCGACGTTTCACGGAACATATTTTTTTCTCTTCTTTTTTTATGTCGGCACCCTTTGAAGCTGCTATATAACACACACGAATTCACCTAGCACGATGCCATTATATCGCTCGCGCACATTGCGATTAGTATTTAATGCGCACATTGTATGAGAAAGGGTCCTTTTCCCGTATCAGATGCGGGGCGGGCCTTAGACTAGTTATTAGACCGCTGACAGGCCCATATAATCCACTTCTCGTGATGTACAGAACGAAAAATATAATGCCTATTAGCGAGGATCTTTTCAGCGCGGAATTTTTTCTTCGCCTTTTATTTCCTTTTTTCCCGCATCGGTCGCGCATTGATTCGCGCGCGGTAATTTTCATTTTCTTCCTTTTCGCGTTTTGTTTTAATCTCATGTCAATAGTCACTTAATTGACTGTATAATGGATCAAAAGTCATTTCTTCCGTACGATATTGATAAATCCAGATAAATCCTTGTTTAGACAGAGTAAAAAATTATAAAGTCAACAATGTATTTATTATTGTTGCACATTTTTATTTTGGTGCTTTTTGACTGTATTTAACGCGATTTGGAATTGAAAAATCTTATTTATATCAAAAGAATCACTTTTTGTTAAAAATTTCTGTCAATTAATAATTAAAAATTTTTTTGTTTCAGAAAAAATCCAGCAGGAGAATAATCAAATGAATGCAGGTGAGTTAAAAATGGGAAAAATATTTCCTTTTTTTTATTTCCGATATTATTCATTGAAAAAGAGTCATTTGTTAAACATTTACCTATTTTCACTTGTTACATTTAAAACACGTCGATTATAGTAACGTGTTTGTTAATGAACATGTTACCAAGTTAGATTGTCGAGAGAAAGATTTCCCTCAGTTTTGCATGGTTTAATGGATACATTGTATCTCGAACGAAACGAAACGTTGCGCGAACGTTCCAGGTGTCTGCCCACATTGTACGTGGCGATATTCGAAAAGAGAGTAAGCGAATATTGTATAATCTGAGCCATTCGAGCGTAAAGACCCCCGCCGCAGTTATTTTATTTAATATAGTATCCCGCTCTGCTAACATCTGTCTGTGAAACGGTGTGTTTCTTTATCACGAGCGAAAAGAACATTCTCTAGAACTTTGTAAATAACGGTGTGTAAAGTGTATATTCACAGGATCAATATATTTTAAAATTCCATGCTTTCGGACATATAATGGATAATATTAATATCTTGCAAAATTTTAAACTAACTATCAAAATTTTATTTTAATTAGCAAAAGTGCTCGCTTATGATTGTGTTTTGCACATAAGATATATATATCGTACGTGTGTCTTTATACTTTTTTTCCCTCTCTGAGATAATACTTTTCTTTCTTTCAAAGATTTAAGACTGGTTTCTTTGTTTTTAAAATGTATTTTATATCGTAAAGAAAAGCACTTTCAATTTTCCGTGCTTTAACTATTAATGAATAATTTTAAATCATCGACAATATAATGAATTACAAAAGTGATTTAACGGTGCATCGTAATGCAGCCTATAGTTTTCGGTTCGTTAGCGATCATGCAACCGCATGCGGATTTGCTTCGGTGAAAATTACTGCACATCCTGGTACAATCAACTCATATATTATTTGTAAATTATGGTTAATGATTATTATTATCTTCGATTCAAATGTAACTAATGTTACATTTGCAACACTAATGTGCTGTCCATATTATTCATGAACCCTCGAAATAATATCACCGCGTGCGGCTGGCCTGCAGATCTCAACATGATTCAAATGCATCGAACTGACGTTATGATTCAATAATGGAATCATTTACTCTCTTTGGTTAACGTAATTTTGCAATTGTCACATTGAATTTTTGCTAATTACATTTCGATATATTTTTCGAAGAAACAAAATAATATGGATGTGATATTATTATTTCTTTCTCTCTCTCTCTCTCTCTCTCTCTCTCTCTCTCTCTCTCTCTCTCTCTCTCTCTCTCTCTCTCTCTCTCTCTCTCTCTCTCTTCTCCGCCTATACAAAATAGATTAAAAGATAATTTAGATTAAAACGAGGCGACTTGTGATCTTAGATAGAAGGCGTAAAGTATTTTTGCAGCTGGTATATTTTGATATTTTCGTTAGGTTTAAGGACAAAGAGTTAGCGTTGAAGCGCTTGATAAAATATATTTTTTCTCGACTTCCGTCCATTACGCAACCTGGAAAGACCATCGATGCGACCTATCGGCGGTAACATTACCGACTATGCAGCCTCCGCCACCAAAGCCGCCGCCGCCGTCGTCGCGACCCCATATTGCACCCCGCGAGGGACGCGTCGGGGGTTGCGCGGCAGCGCGGTAGGGTGAGTAATGTCGGGAAATGCAGCTAACGAAGTTTACGAAGATACTTAACGGAATTACGCCCTCGCTCGCAATGGTCCCCGTCGTCGTTCCATCGCTTCCCTACGCGCGCGCGTCATCTCGTCAACTTCCAAGCGTCCTTTTACACTTTTCCGGCAACAGGGAGGTCGCGTTAATTACCGGCAGAGGCAGGAAGCCGGGGAAACGGTGGCGAGACATCTCGTCCTCGACGCGATGCGTCGTCGACGCACAGCGATGGTTACGAAAGTCGGGTTATGGGGGCGGGTGACGGAGGACGGCGAGGGGGTGCGCGGCAGTGGAGCCAGGAAGGGGTCGGTTTGCGCCGAAGAAGGGTGTTATTGACATGGTGGATGTCGTCGGCCATCTTGGGCCGCAGCAGTCTCCCCGCCGCCGTCACCACCTCCACACCACCTCCTCCTCGTTTTCCTCTTCCTCCCGCCGCCACCATTCATCGCATTCACTCTGCTCCCCATCGCGTCCGAAGGACATCCTTGTGTCCCCTTGTGCCGAGTGACATTCGGGCTGCGTACCCAGCCTAACCTGCCCGGCGGACGCCCTGGGCCACCCTTTTCGACCAACCCCGGCAACGAGCTGCGAGGGTCCCGGGGGCTGCTTGTCGCCATGGCGACCAAACCCTCGCCCAACCCCCTCAACCAAACGCCGATTTCCTATCCCTCGGAACTTTGCTACCCTCTTCCGCCACCCCTTCCTCGTCGCTCGCGTCGTTTGCGCTGCCGTTCTCGTCGCCAAAGAGAGAGTCTTTCGATATCCTCGCTCGCCTCTCTTTGACAGCTCTACGATCCTCGTCTCTTTCTCATCATACTTGTTTTGTCTCCTTACCTCGCTTTTCTCTCTCCTTCTCTCTTCATCTTCGTCGGATAGCTAATGTCAATTTTTATTTTTTTAGAATTTGTGTTATGTCTTTTACTCTCTTTCATTTTATAATTCACTTTTAATAATAATTTATATTTTCCATGGGAAGATGAGGATTTCATGCTGTTTCTTCTCCTTAATATAATATAATATTTTTCGATTTTATTCTTCATATTTTTATTTGTTACGTCATAGGTTTTACTATTTCTTGTTTTTATCGATTTTATATTGGTTTAATAATTGTAATTATATTTGTTTTTAAATGAAGAAAATTATATCATCTGTGCTCTTATGACGTTAACTTATAAAATTTTCATCTTCTCTAATAAGTATAAAATAAAAATATAATAAAAAATTATGCTCTAATAAATTATATAATGAAATGTAATCTTACCATGTATCTTATCCATACTTTTCAAAGGATTTTAATATTTCGAAAATATCATTCTATATCTTCATTGAAATTTTTACTTCATGAAATTTTTACGAAGCTATTTTTAATAATTTTAAAAATCTTAGTTTTGAATCACGCTATATATATATATATATATATATATATATATATATATATATATATTCTGAGCTAGCACAATTTATCTAAATTTATGTAATATCAACCGATAAAAATCTGGCATCCGATATTGATAATCGATGTGTAATATATGTGATAGAAAGTTTATAATTTTCCTATGTTAATTAAAAAAACGGTATAGTGTTTCATAGGTGTTTCATATATTGTGCTTAAAATGCGAGTTGCGGTTTCGATATTACACAAATTTAATGGCCGCGTCGAAAAATCGCAAAAAATGTCGGGCGGTATTTAGGGTTGGTTAGATCGGTGTGGTGGCTATTAATACCGCTAATTATATCGAAGAGTCGATCTGCCGGAGACTCTGCCCGCGTTCTTCCTTTTGTCCGGAGATCCTTTATCAAACATTCTCGAAGACACAAAGTTGCTCCCTCGCCCCACGAAATTGGCGGATATTAGGAAGGACTTCGTCCCAAGCTTTTGTCTCGTTCGGCCACAAAGTTTCTCGAAGCACCACAATCCCGACCAATTAGCGACGATTTCCTAAAATCAAACCGTAACCGCGAGCTAATTGGCACTTGACATTCAACCCACTCTCTCCTCGCGAGAAACTCTTAAACCTTCATCATCGATGACAAATACTTGAATTAATTGTAGTCCTCATTTAAAGGAGTCCTTGGCCTCTGAGGAGGTTTTCGATGGGTACTTTTATTTCATCATTGTAGAAATCGTGAAACAAGAACGATTTTTAATTTTATCTACGGCTCCAATTACAAACGTGTTTGCAAATTTAGGGAAACTTTTTATTTAAATGATATCGATTATATCAGAAAAGTATCTTTTCCTTAGATAAAAGCAATAAGTTTAATAAATATAATATCAAAAGAATATATTTACAAAGAGAACTCTTGTACAAGAATTTGTAGCATCTTAACTATCGCAGATTATGCATCCATACACAAAATACTCGATATTAGGAGCAAAGTCTCGACATTTCGATAGCGTCGAGGTATCTTGAGCATTCTTGGGTCCCGAGATATAACAGAGCGTTCGAATGAACTCGGTGACTCGAACCATGCAGCTGCATTGCGGCAAAACAGTAGACGCTTGTCATCGGAGACGACGATCCGTGGGCGACATATCGGAATGTAATTCCGCAAATGCGCAACGTGGTTCCATTCATTGGCCAGTCACCGCGACCAGCTGCGGCTTTAAAATAGCGCTCACGGGGACGAACGTGGGTGATCGCCGAATGACAACGATTCGATTAATTAATGCCGGTGGAAGTGCCATGCATCGGCCTCGTGCGACGATAGGACCGGAAGTGCGTGTCGGGCGAAAAAAAAGGAGGAATCGCGGTCTTTATGTACGCGGATCAACTGTTTATTCAGCATGTAGTGAAAACGAGAGAAAGAAGAGAAAGAGATAGAACGAGAGAGAGTGCACCGGGTCGACGGGGGGAGGAGAAGAACCTGACGGGGGGGCGGGGGAGGAAGGAGGGAATGCAACAGCAAGCGTGAGTGATCGACGTGAAACGAGTTCATTCATGCTTGGATGTTGTAATTCTGAATGGACGTGAAATGGATCGAAGTTGTGCGATTAGATTAGGACCACGTGGGCTTATTTGATATTTTTTATTTAGATAAAGATACGAGTAGTTTTATTTTGACGGTTGATACAAATTACTTTTGTTGTAAAATAACTCGTCTCTGTTTTATATCACACATTTAACGGAAAGTAATCCTGCGATTTTCGGCTCTTCAACAATGAAATTGAATATTGAATATATAATTTTTGTAATGTAGATGATGTAATCGCGAGGAGTTTTATTTAAAATTTTAAATTTAACAACCTTTTTCATACTTTAAAGATTAAGCTGGTACAATGCTATTTCGGATTAAATTGAATCCAGCGTCATTGAATGATTCGCGTTAAAATCCAGGCTTGTTGGCAAGGTTAAAAGGGCGCCTCTCTGTCTCTCAAGGGTGCGATAACTTTCAGCGCCGACTGTATCGCTGGATGATATATCCCCCGGGGGTTTTCTCCCCTTGGGTGTTGGGGTGTGTTTCGTTGCCTGGCAACGACACCCTCGAAGTCCGCGCTCTGATTGGCCCCGTCTCGCTTTTCCTGTCTTAGCCTCTCTTCTCACCCCGTCGCCAATCAGGCCCCCTTGCTCATACTACCGTATCCACCCTATACCCTCACCGATGGAAACCATCGTCCTCGGGGCGAAATGCACACACGAGCGTGCGCGTGCAAAAAAAAAAAAGAAAAGAAAAAACACTCTGCTACGCGTCCACACGAACGCGAGGAATTAGAGGTAATTCGGTGCAATGGTGCAACATTGATATATATAACGATACATGTACGTAGTTGCATACAAGTGTACGTGAGGAAACGTTATAATATTAGTTCAAATAAATAATATGATGGATATTTATCTCTTTTGTTATTTTCGATACATAATGCATCATTATACGAAAAAAATGTAAAACTTTTAAGCTTGCGATCGTTTTATCAAATTTCCTTTTACAGATAATTTTTCCTAATAATAATAATAGTAATCTAATAGGAAGTAAAAGAAGGCTAGGAACCAAAGACGCAGGTAATGATGCGTGATAGTAATAATATATTATGATGGGGAAACTTTGTAAAGTTGTTTACTTACGTACAATAAGAAACGCAAAATATACGTTTAAAATTCATACAATAAGAAACGAAAAATATATGTTTAAAATGTGCTGTCGACGACGTTTCGATCCTGCTCTGGGTCCTTTTCAAATAAGAAAAAACATAATATTATTTAAACCAACTGACTGAATAATAAAAGAAGTCAATGCAATAAAATAAAAAGAAATTGAAAAGAAACGGTAGGGTCGCACAATTGTATCGTAGACACATGCTTCATAAAACGTTGACAAAAATCTGATATCGCACAAAAAGCGAGACTTTTATTATTCAGTTAGTTGGTTTAAATAATATTATGTTGTTTCTTATTTGACTTTGAAAAGGACCCAGAGCAAGGTCGAAACGTCGTCGACAGCACATCTTTTAAACATATATTTTTACGTTTCTTATTGTATGTAAATGAACAACTTTACAAAGTTTTTCCATCATAATATATTATTACTATCACGCACCATTACTTGCGTCTTTGGTTCCTAGCCTTCTCTTTTATTTCTTATTAGATTTGTATCATTTGAACCATTTTTACATGTTAAAATTTTTTTTACTTTTTTAATAATAATAATAATATAATAATAATAATAAAAATTTATTATTATTATCATGATGATGATGATCATCATTATCATCTATATATTTTTCTAATGAAAAGAAGTATAAATGAAAAGTTAGGAATATATATATTTATACATATTTTTGATGCTATATCGAGGAACATTTTTGATGATAAAATTAAGTTCATAGAATAAATATCCGGAATCTTATTTGCCAGAGATTCATTCTGTAAATCCGATTACGAATAAACAGCCATTTCATCGCGGCTCTCGATGTCATTGAGAGTCATTTCTATTTTTACGACTTCGTAAATTGTACGAAAGGATTAAAAGCGATTCTACTGGCTTCCTTTTCAATACCTTCTTCGAGTAGCTGGCTTGTTGTCGAAGCTGCGCAGCGCTCTGCGAGAGGATTAAACCTTCCTATTGATCCCGTTCAATGGATTCATGCCCTTTCACGTGCCAGCGTTCGTAATGTTTTGACATTCTTTGCGCTCGTCCCTTCGTATCTTGCTTCCTTCTTCCATGTTAGAAATATATCTTTATATCTTCAATTTGATAACGAATAATAAAATCATTTTCCTGACATAATACAGACAAAATCATTTATTTTAAGAATATATATATATCATAATTTCGCATATTGAAAAATTTTTATAAATATAATAAGTTAATAATTGTATGTATAATTAATTAATATTTGTACTTTTAATAGAGAGTTCGTGCTGCGGCAGTGAGGAGGATTGTTTAGACGACAATTTCTTTTTAAACTCATCACAATATTTCGACGAAGAATGGTGTGATAAAGTTCTGCGCAAAGCCAAGTAAGTGTATTAAATACGGACACATTTTATTTGTACAAGGATAAGTAATCTAATTCATTATTCGTTACTGTAGAGCGCAGAAAGTGCCAAAAATATATTACGGAACGCGAACGCACAAGCAAATCCAGCAAGTAGTGAGAGAATTAAAAAAAACTGTGTACAGGGATAAAAGGTAAAAAAATTGCGAAAAGTATTGTCTTAAAAAAATAAAATGAATGTACAATGAATGAGTTTCCAGGATGACTATATTGAGCAGCCGACAATACACGTGCATTCAAAAGAGCAATAAGAACAAGAACGAATTGTGTAAAGAGCTACTCGATCCATTAAAGGTTTCTATATATTATATCGTCTTCTCGCATGCGCAGTTAATGATTAAATAATTATATAACGGGATGTATTTTGTTCTTTGCGCACAGTCTACAAAATGCCTATATTATAATGACCAAAGTAAAAAACGAATGGCGTTATTTAATGAACTAGAAAAACCTTGGGATATAGAAGATTTGTTTTCATTTGGCAAAGATATCGGTATCTGTCCATATTTTGGCGCGAGATCTTTGATGGACCAGGCAGAAATCATTTTTTGTCCTTACAACTATATCGTGGATCCACATATTCGCGAGAGCGTAAGTACACAATTATCAATCAAGTAGTAATCACTTATCAATCAGGAAGTAGAAAGTATTCCAGAGAAAAATAATTGTAGAACAAAGTAAAATGCTTTTTTTTATTGTTACATAAATCTTTTCATCTTAAAAGTGCACAGAATACTTTCGCTATTTTCGATACTATATTAAACATGACATATAACAAATAAAATAATTAAAACATGTAGATGCAGATTAATTTGAAAGGCGATATTGTAATCCTTGACGAAGCTCATAACATCGAGGATACCTGTCGAGAGGCTGCCAGTGTGAATTTCAGAAATGATGAACTTAGGATTGCTGCCGACGATTGCACACATTGGAGTCGCAAATATCGTAATCGCGATCGTGATCGCGATATTTACACTATCATTGAGACGTATCTCACTGATATTGCAAAATTCCTGGAAGCTATTGATGTTAAACAAAATGTGAGCATATATATTTATTATTAATTATACCTTGCGTTTATTATATATTAATTCTATGTATCATTAAATTTTTTATCATATTCAGATATTCAGATATTAATCAATTCATATTAATTTTTATAAATAATTATAATCGATACTTTTACCTACCGTAATAAAATATATATCTTTCAGAGTAACAATGAGATGGTCAATAATTGTTGGCTTGGTGCCGAATTTCTGGTGTTACTTGACATGAATAATATCGGAAGTTCAAAATTTTCCGCTTTTCATGATGCTAGCAAGATGGCTATTCAACATTATGAAGAAATGAAACAAGAAACTCGTCCTGATAAAATAGTTCAAGCTATTTCGCAAGATACTAAAAGAATTCTAGAGGACTTGTGTTTCGCTATACAGATGCTCACATCTGATACTTTTGTCAATGATTATAGAGTATGTGTTATAGAAAGTATGGAACCTTCTAAGAAAATTGTTGTAAGTCCGTACATATGAACAGTTTTGTCATTATAATCTATATATTACATGTCCATATATTATAATATTATATAATGATTATTTTATAGATACCTGAAAACACCTGGATTTCGACAAAAAAAAATTTCGAATTTTCCTTTTTTAAGAATAAACCATTACGAATTATGAAACTGTTATGTATGAATCCTGCTGTAGTTTTCGCACCTTTGGCCCGCATCGTTCGTTCTGTGATAGTTGCTTCGGGTACTCTTACGCCGATTACGTCGTTCCAAAGTGAACTTGGCACGAAATTCCCGCATGTAGTCAATCCTGATCACATTATATCAAAAGATCAAGTGTACGTGAGATGTATTCCACGTGGGCCAAATGGAAAAACCTTAATGGCTAATTTCGAAAACGTAAATTCTTGGAATTTTCAGGTAAAATGAAAATTATTTCTTTTTTCGTTTAAACATTTATTATGTTGAAATCCAATTCGTAATATTTTTTAATGTAACAGGACGAACTCGGTAGTCTGGTTCTTCAAGTATGTGATGCAGTGCCGTATGGTGTGCTTTGTTTTTTCTCATCTTACATTACAATGAATAAATTACACGATAGATGGAGGAATACCGGCACATGGAGCAAACTCGAAAAATTGAAAAAAATTTTTGTAGAACCGAGAAATAACTCGAATCTGCCCACGATGATGGAAGAATATTGCAACGTAATCAGGGAATCGTCGTCTAAATCCTTTCATGTGGCATCCGGAGCTATTTTTTTCGCAGTTTACAGGGGGAAAGTGGCGGAAGGAATCGATTTTAGCGATAATGATGCTCGATGCGTACTAGCGGTAAATAATATTCCTTTCTTAATATTTCATACTGATTTTATTTACATGTCTATGCATATATTTGTATGTATATCCAATATAAACGTTTGGAATATTTTTTATTAGGTCGGCATACCATATAGAAATAAAAACGAGGTATCTATGAAAATGAACTATAATGATTCGAACAAGTCCAAAGGTTTCTTGCCTGGTTCAGAATGGTATACTGTAGATGCATTTAGAGCATTAAATCAGGCATTAGGCCGTTGTATTAGACATAAAAATGATTGGGGTGCTGTGTTGCTGGTGGATGAAAGGTATGTATTAGTCAAAGTATGTACAAAATTTGACTAAAGTAGAAATAAATTTCTTATTAAGATAATTTATATGTAGATTCCAGAACCGACATAAAATTAACTATTTACCAAAATGGATTAAAACAAAAGTAAGTTAGTCTACTACAAAGATATTATTAATAAATTATTGTTAACTATATTTATTTATATTGCAAAATTTATATTTTAGTGGATGTATGATGGAAATTACGATCTTCAAACAGAACTTCAAGATTTTATAGCAACACAAGTTGCACGGGAAAAGGGAGAAACATGTATAACAGCTGTATAGATTAAAATTTTTTTTAAAAATGTAAAGAAATCTTCATATGCTTCAGATTAAAAATATTTTAATTAAGAATGATTTAACAAAAACAGTAGTTTATATATGTGATTAAATGTCTTAATTTATATATATATTTTTTAAATATTATTTGTTAAGTGTGTCCCTCTTTTCAATCATTCTTAACTGTTTCTTTTTCATTCTCTTTATTTTTGCAGGATTTTTAATCTGAAAATGACAATAAAATAAGAGTTATACATATAAAATTGTTACAGTTTGTAAACAATAATATTTTTACTTACAACTTGTACAATTTCGCTCTTCTTTCGATTTTCCTCTGCTCTCTTTAAATTTTCTCTTCTCCGTTGCTTCTTAGCTTCTTTTTCTGCTTGTTTTTGGGCCTTGATTTCTCTTGATATTTCCTTAACACGTTTCAAATCTTCTCTTAACTTTTGTTTTTTAGCTAGTGATAATCTGATTCCACGCGTTTTAATTATCGACGAAAATCTACAAATAAATATATTACTGTCACTTGTATATTTTGTTTTGTTAAATAATTTACATGTTAAGAATATAATTTTTAATAAAAATTTAACAAATACGAATTGAACAACACAACAAATTATACTATTTAAGGAATATGTTAATTTTGATTTATATATTTTATTTATATATTTATATAAAACTTTTTAACCAGAGTTATGTATAACTTACCTTGTTTTCTCTTCTTTCCATATCCTACCAGATTTTGGTTTACCTCTCGGAATATGAGGTTTCTCACGTCTTTCAACACTGGAGGAGGATTCTGATACATTTTTATTCTGCACTGGCGCAGCGTTTTTGTTTAATATATCTTCCATACGTGTTATTTCCTCTCCACTCTCCATCATTCAAAAATATTAAAACGTACAGTTAAATTATGCGTGTTCTTCCGTATAAACAATTTTTATAGGTTACCTTTGTCACATGGCATTATCGCAACCAGAGAAGCCAAACGGACAATAATCGAAGTAGAATCGAGATTGCCATTGACAGTCTGCATTACCGAAGTCAGAGAGAAAACTGAAAAATGTCATGGCCTGCTTTTAGGTGATCCCTGAAAGCGATATTCCCTCTATGGACATTGAAAACGTGGACATGAACTACAAAGCCAAAGTCCATGAATGTTCTCAGAGGGTATCATGTGCACAATTTCTGGTTTCGTTCCGTGCTATGTGCACGAAATGCCGGTAACACCAGAGTATAACAAGACACTCATGTATATAAATTGATAGTAAATAAATTATGCAATCGTGAAAGATACTGTAATCTTCCAATGTAATGTTCAAAGATGACATAAATATTTTTCTATATTCATTGCCATGTTTATATATTTTTATTTACAAAACACAAAATGTCTGCTGTGGAATAAAAACATTTTTAACCGTTATTTCTATAAATCTTAATTAGCAATAAACTGATCTTTGATATTTATTAATCACTTTTTTAATTATTTAAAAAAGTTATTATATTATTAATTATTTACTTATTTATTTATTACTTATTTAATTATTAATGCATGTATAGAATTTGTCAAATTAATCACTGATTGTTCTAAAGTTTTTATAATTAAGATTCGAAAAATATAGTTGCAAAATATTTTAAATATCTCTTCCTTTATATAAAATATAAAGAATTCATATGTTCCATTCTAATATAGTCAACATTATTTATATACTTTTATTATAATTTTCTTACCAGCATAATATTTTTATGCTTAATATTTTATATAATTCAATGTACTAAATTATAAAATTTAATATAATTACAAAATAGTATTACTATTAATAAATAGGTTGTATTCATACTGTCTTTTAATTTCTAATCATTTCCAATCATTATGCATTTCTATTATCTATTTCTATTATCTATTATTTTCTTCTTCGAGTTCTTGGATTAGTTCTTGGTTTATTGTATATTCCTTGGTGTTAAAATCATAGGGATTATCATCATTTGTCATGCTTATTCCTTCCTATGGAGTCCATCGAAATATTTTCTATGGACATTTGTTCTCTCGAGTATAGATATTCAAATCACTCAGAGAGAGAGAAAGAGAGAAAGAGGAGGAGAAAGGATTTGAGATATTCAAATCACTGTAGTTGTCTTTTTTCTATTTTCTCAATTATTGTCTCTTTTTCTTTTATTTTATTCAAAAATATTAATATAATTAAAAATAACATATATATAATTTTGATATCTTTCTTAGTCTGATTCTTTCCCTTCGACTTGTCCGGCATAGGTAACCCTAAGGCCGGCATTTATAATTCATTCTTATATTTAAGATTGTCTTAAGTAAGTTGGAAAATACAACTATTTTACTAACTGATCGGAATCTCAAGACGCGATCTAAGATCATACTTAAGATTATTTTAAATATAAAAATAGTCTACATATATGAATATCGGCGTATTATACGTTACTGCCGGCATAGCTCTTAGGTTCATTAGAATACTCAAACCTCATCCGGCAAATGCCTCTGTAAGGTGGAGATACGAGGAAAAAATTTTTTTTAAATTTTATTTTTATTTTCTTTCAATACAGGGTTTAATACAAAAGTGAATGTAAAATATAATTTGAAACTTAATACAAAATAATTTTTATTTATTACATGGAATAATTTAATACACGAAAATGTCTCTAAAATATACATATAATATAAAATTTACTAAAAATTTTTATATAGTCCAGACAAGCCCGATTAGCGATGATTATGCAATATTTATCATTGATAATCGATATGCGATAATAGAATTTAATAAGTTTTATGTAACGTAAATATATATAATCATGATTAAAAGAGTCATTAATAAAATTATTGATCATTTCTTCGATTGTAAAAGAAAATATTTGCATTACTATCGCATTTTGTGTAGATTATCAAAGGAAATATTCAAAATACGAAAAAATAAAATAAGCTTCAATGTAAATCAACAATTAAATTACAAAATAAATTGCGATTTAAAATTCGCGAGAAAACGCGAATAAATAAATCGATAATAATAGGAATATTCGATTACGAGAAATATACGTATAATTTTTATAATATGATAATCAAAACTATTAATAGATACGCGCGCGACAATATAATTATTATCACACAAATGATGATACACGAAGATATTTTGATAAACATTTGTGGTCCGCATTGTTTATGAACAATTATTACTTTAATGATATTTATAGAATAAAATATAATTCCCGTGACGCTTTATCTCGTTCTATTTTTCAATTATTTAAAATTTAATTATTTAATTTAGAATCAAAACGCACAGCAAAACAATCGAATCATAAATCGAAAAAATTAACATAATAAAAAGCTTTGCGATACATCAAATTAACAAATATTATTTAATCCATGTAATCTAAAACTTTTATACATTTTAACATTTCGTGTATATGTTAAAGTACGTAAACTATATCAGCAGTGAATGGATAATAACACGATCGGCCTTGGCGGCGTATGACGCGCTGTGTTTACATGTACGGTCTTGATATCATTCACACGGCAACATTCGAAGAGTAAGGTGCGAAATACTTCGTATATTATTAAATTTTTTCTCTAACGATAAAACACAATTATGACTAGTATTAAAACATAATTCGCTAGGATAATTATAATTAGTACTTGCTAAACTTTTAATTGTAATTACTACGCGATCGGGAATGCCGTGCAAAATGTCTCGCGATTTTTGCGTATACTAATATTAACTAACTAATCTTAATTAATCTTGTTTTCAGGAGTGAAAGTGAGTGCAACGAAAAAATAGCGAAGGAGAGGAAAAGCAAGTCTAAAAAGCACTGGACCACGTACTAAGCAACATTATCCGGTAAGTAGTTTATAAATTATTTATCATTTATATTTATCATTTATATTCAGATTATATATATATATATATATATATATATATATATATATATAACGAATAATATAACGAAAGGCCCCGTGACAAATTGTTTAATAAATAATCAATTTGAATCCATAACTTAGAATGCTTCTATACTTTAATATTTTACGTTAATGTACAATATATTTTATGATATATAAAATATTTTGGTAACGAATTATCGATAACACGATGTTCGATTTTGGCAATGTAAAATATAAACAGCAGCGCGCTATATTACGGCTTTGTCATTATTCGCACGGTGACTCTCGAGTAAAGTAGTGGTAAGAAACGCTTCGTATACTGTAATTTTTTTACTAAACACGATTACGGTTAGTATCGATTAAGAATTGAAACAGGGAATACGTAAAAGAGAATAAAAGAATTAATTATGTTATGATATCCATCACTGATGCTTATAATATTTCTTTAACAATACTAGAATTAACTATATTTCGACCAATGCTTTAAATTTTCTCAATCCTTATTAATTAAACAATATACAATTTAATCGAGAATCGATTAAATGATAGGAATCCAAGATATTAAATAATCACTTCGATAATTGCGATCTTTACGGACAATAATTATTATTTTAATAATTAGAGTCACAAATATATTTCATGCGTGTCACTTTATCGTTTTTGACAATCTAAATATTTTTATTAATTTGGATTGTTCAGAGAACACGAAGTAAAACAATTGAATTATAGATGCAAATAATTAACATAACGAAAAGATTCGTGATAAATTGCTTAATAAATAATGAATTTTAATCAATAAATTAAAATAATTCCTAATTTAATATTCCGCGTTAATGTATATTTTATAATATATAAAATATTTCAAAAACAAATTATCGATAACGCAGCGTTCGATCTTGGCAATATAAAATATAAACAGTAGAGCTCTATACGTTACCGCTTTGTCATCATTCGCACGGTGACTCTGGAGTAATAAAGTAGTGGTGAGAAACGTTTCGTATTCTTTAATTTTTTTACTAAATACGATTACGATTAGTATCGGAACATAATTTGTTATAAATATTAACAAAACTAATTAATTAAAAATTAATTAACGACATAAAACTGTATCGCAACAATAAATCTTTATCGAATCGTAATCATTCATTATTGTGATTAAAAATTAAAACATGTTATACATAAAAAAGGATAAGAGATTAGGTTGTGATATTTCGATCATCAATACTTATTAGAATATTTCTTTATAATATTAGAATATAATATTAGAATTAAATATATTTAAACCAATGCTTTAAATTTTCTCAATCTTTGTTAATTAATACGCAATTTAATCGAAAATCGATTAAATTATAGGGATCCAAAATATTAAATAATTACTTCGATAATTGCGATTTTTACGGACAATAATTATTATTTTAATATTTAGAATCACAAATATATTTCATCCGTGTTACTTGTTCATTCTATTTGATAATCTAAATATAATTTAGGATGTGAGAGAACGCGAAGTAAAACAATCGAGTTATAGATGCACATAATTAGCATAACAAAAGGTTACGTGATAGATTGTTTAATATATAATCAATTTTAATCAGTAAATTAAAATACTTCATTAACTTAATATTTCACGTTAATGTATATTTTATAATATATAAAATATTTTAGCAACGAATTATCGATAACATTCGACTTTGGCAATATAAAATATAAACAGTAGCGCTATACGTTACCGCTTTGTTATCATTCGCACAGTGACTCTCGAGTAATAAAGTTGTGGTGAGAAACGCTTCGTATATTGTAATTTTTTTTGTTAAACACGATTATGATTAGCCTTGAAACATAATTTGCTATGAATATTAATAAAGGTTAATTAATTAAAAATTAATTAACTACATGAAACTGTATTGCAACGATAAATCTTTATCGTATCGCAATCATTCATTACCGCGATTAAAAATTAAAACATGTTATACATAAAAGAGGATAAGAGATTATGTGGCGATATTTCAATCATCGATACTTATTAGAATATTTCTTTATAATATTAGAATATAATGTTAGAATTAAATATATTTCGACCAATGCTTTAAATTTTCTCAATCTTTGTTAATTAAATACACAATTTAATCGAAAATCGATTAAATTATA